CATCCTCGTTAGTATTATCGCTCTCGTCATCATCATCATCATCATCATCATCATCATCATCATCATCCTCGTCATCACTGTCATCATAGTCGCCGTCATCCCCATCACCATCACCATCATCCCCGTCATCATCATCATTATCCTTCTCGGCATCATCATCATCATCCTCCTCATCCTCGTCATCATCACCATCATCATCCTCGTGAGCATCACCATAATCATCAGCATCATCATCCTCGTCAGCATCATCATCATAATCCTCGTCATCATCATCATCATCATCCCCAGCGTCATCCTCAGCATCATCATCCCCAGCATCACCACCATCAACATCATCATCATCATCCTCGTCATCATCACCGCCATCAGCATCGACATGATCATCCTTATCATCATCATCATCATCATCATCATCATCATCATCATCATCATCATCATTATCATCATCCTCATCCTCGTCAGCATTATCATCATTTGTATCATCATCATCCTCATCATCATCATCACCATCATCGTGATTGGCATCATCATCATCATCAACACCATCATCATCATCATCATCATCATCATCATCATCAGAATCGTCATCATTCTCGTCATCGTCATCATCCTCATCATCACCTTCATCAACATCAGCATCATCATCATCAACATTATCAGCATCATCCTCGTCATCCTCGCTTTATCACCTTCCTCGTCATCATCACCATCACCAGCATCAACAACATAATCATCATCTGCCTGGTCATCGATCAGCATTATCAACACCATCGTTGTCATAATCCTCATCATCATCCTCGTCGTCATCATCCTGTTTATAAGAATCATCAACAAAATAATCATCATCATCCTCATCATCACCACCACAATCATCATCATATCCATCCTTGTCGTCATCTTCGTCATCATCATCACCATCATCCCCGTCATCATCATCATTATCCTTCTCGGCATCATCATCATCCTCCTCATCCTCGTCATCATCACCATCATCATCCTCGTGAGCATCACCATAATCATCAGCATCATCATCCTCGTCAGCATCATCATCATAATCCTCGTCGTCATCATCATCATCATCATCATCATCATCCCCAGCGTCATCCTCAGCATCATCATCCCCAGCATCACCACCATCAACAACATCATCATCATCACCACCATCAGCATCATCCTCGTCATCCCACAACATCATCACCATCACCCCATCACCATCATCATCACCACCATCACCATCATCCCCATCATCCCATCACCATCACAACATCATCACCACCATCACCACCATCATCATCATCATCATCATCATCCTCGTCATCATCACCGCCATCAGCATCGCCATGATCATCCTTATCATCATCATCATCATCATCATCATCATCATCATCAGCATTATCATCATCCTCATCCTCGTCAGCATTATCATCATTTGTATCATCATCATCATCATCATCACCATCATCGTTATTGGCATCATCATCATCAACACCATCATTATCATCATCATCATCGTCATCATTCTCGTCATCATCATCATCCTCATCATCACCTTCATCAACATCAGCATCATCATCAACATTATCAGCATCATCCTCGTCATCCTCGCTTTATCATCTTCCTCGTCATCATCACCATCACCAGCATCAACAACATAATCATCATCTGCCTGGTCATCGATCAGCATTATCAACACCATCGTTGTCATAATCCTCATCATCATCCTCGTCGTCATCATCCTGTTTATAAGAATCATCAACATAATAATCATCATCATCCTCGTCATCACCACCACAATCATCATCATATCCATCCTTGTCGTCATCTTCGTCATCATCATCACCATCATCATCATTGTCACTGTGCCGTCGTCATCGTCATCATCATCGTCATCATTCGCGTCATCATCATCACTAGCAGCCTCCACTTCTTTTCCTTATAGATCACGCCTCCCTGTCGCACCCCGAGGCCGGTCGAAAGAGCGGGCCTGGCGTTTCGCCTGAGACTTCCTCACCGTTTATATCCTGATCTCGCCTTAGCGCCGCGCACATTCTTTTTTACAAATGTGCAAGAGCGTCACGGATTGAGAGCGGGTGGTTTTCAAAATGTGGCTCTCCCCTAAGCGCCGCGCACATCCGTTGTCCTTAAGAAAATTGCAATCGTTTCACGGATTGAAAGCGGGTGCTTTTCAAAATGTGGCTCTCGCCTTAGCGCCGCGCACACTCATTGCACAAAATTGCATAAGCTTCATGGATTGAGAGCGGGTGGTTTAAAAAATGCGACTCTCGCCGTAGCGCCACGCACTTTCGGTTCAACATTTGCAAGAGCTTCACAGATTGAGGGCGGTCCTTTTCAAAATGTGGCTCTCGCCTTAGCGCCGCGCACACTTGCCCAAAATATTTGCAAAAGCGTCGCGGATTCCCATGGTGAGACCGAACCACCCGGGAACACGGAAACCCGGGAACCCCGCCGCCCACCCAAATCGGCCCGGAACCAGCAGCCGGGCACCAAAGAACTCCGAACGGGGTACCCGGGAACCCGGCCGCCTACTGAAATCGGCTAAGCACCTTCGCCAAATCTGTCAAACTCCGCCAGGACCCCTTCAGTGCAAGCACTGATTGTGGAAAAAAGGCAAAGGCGCCTGGACAGCGCGGCGCGGGACAGGCGGAAGGAAGGAAGAGAAAGAGAGCGAGAGAGAGCGAGAGAGAGGAGCGTTGGGTGGGAGGGGCGAAAGGGGGGAGCGTCCCCCTCCCGACGCTGCTGCTGCTGATCATCGTGATGCCGTCTGCCGCGCGACACTGCTCTGATTGCCTTTGCTTCCTCCTCGTCCGTCTGCTTCCTGCCTGTGCTGGCGGGGCCGAGATACCACGGCCCAGTGGGGATGGGGTTCCACCAGCCATCCGCCGATACGGCTTTCTTTAGGTCGGGCATGTCCCCCTACAGGCGGATTTTGAACGAAAAAGTAGTCCCCAGACATTTTTTGACCAGTGTTGAATGCTCGATAGTGCATCCGCACGTTCCTGGGCAGGTTGGGGCTATCGGGCCCCTATCGGCGGTCAATGGGTGATTGGGGGTCGATGCATCCCCCCCTATGCCTATCCCCCCCGATCGTTGCCCCTGAATAAGACTCGGGTTCGGGGGACTCGGGTTGGCCTGACGGGGCCATCATGAAAACGAGGAGGCCCACTGCGAAACTTGACGCGACCCCCCGCCGCAGACATCCCACGAAAACTGGACCATCAGAACCGAGGACGCGCTCATCGGACAGCGCCGGCAGACCCGAGTCCCGTCGTACTCGAGTCTTGCATTTCCCCGACAAGCAGACCCCCGACGCCAGGGTTTTTGCCATGACGTCGACACCCAGAAGTCTCGACCCATTCCCCGGTGCGGGTTTTTCATCCCGAGTCGTTCTCTGAAGGTCCCGAAGCCCAGCGAGGGCCCTCAAAGGCCGAAAACTGTGGGAAACCTGCCGTCGCGATTTCTTCATGACTCGAAGGGCTCTGGGTCTTGCGCGTCGCCGATCTCCGCCCTCGGGCCTGCCCGGGGCGACCGCGACCGCGAGCGTGCGGCCCTCGGCCCGGCTGCGTGGCGCCCGCTGCCGCCGGCCGCCCCCGGGCCGCGCGCAGGGGGCGCGCCGCGGGGGGGCGTCCGAGGGGGCTCGTGGCGATAGGTGGTGGCCCGCGCCAGGAGCTGCTGCGACGCCTCCTCCCGGGGCGACAGTCTCCATTCCTTCCCCTGGTGAATGACTTCTCCCTGTCGCACCCCGAGGCCAGCTTTTGGGGCGGGCTGGGCGTTTCGCCTGAGACTTCCTCACCACTTATGACCCTGAAGCTTAAAAAGTGACAACAGTTTCACAAATGGAGGGCGGGTCGCTTTCAAAATGTGGTTCTCGCTTCAGCGCCGCGCACATTCGTTATCAAGCATTTGCAAGAGCTTCACGGATTGAAGGCGGGTCGTTTTCAAAATGTGGCTCTCGCCATCACGCCGCGCACATTCGTTTTCAAACGTTTGCAAGAGCTTCACGGATTCAGGGCGGTTCCTTTTCCAAAATGTGGGTCTCGCCTTAGCGCCGCGCACATTCGTTTTATGAATTTGCAAGAGTTTCACTGGCTCCCATGATCAACGTACCAGAAACGGTGTTTTGGAAGGATTCAGGATTATGCGGGCGCAACAATTACTTTGATTCGCGGTGTTGAGGTCCCAAGAATGGCGTTTTGGCAAGATTCTAGATCCTCAAGACGCAGCAGTCAGGTAGATACGTGGCGCTGAAATCCCGAGAGCAATGTATTGGCACGCTTCAGGATCTTCAAACGGTTGTCTTCCAACGAGGCAGTTCCCCCAATGGAAATGAACCGTTGTAGGGGCCTACGGAGAGGGAGCTTGGATGTAGGCTCCATTCCAACATCGTTGATGACTCTTGGCTTTACACTGGTCCTCCTCCTCCTCCACCTCCTCCTCTGTTTCCTCCTCCTCCACCTTTTGGGCGCTGCGCGAATTTCATGCAACAGCATGGAGCGTCAATGCGAAGCAAAAAAACATAATGTCGACGTAGGCAAGGAGCAACCGAAGTAAGCCTGGCAGGCGCAGCTGGAAAAGGTAGGACAGCGAGACGCGAAAAGAGCACACGGCCCGAATGCCATTGATCATGCGCCCGCCAGGCCGCATGGTGGAGAGGGGAAAGACCGAACCATGAAGCTGAACTGATACCATGGGCAGGGAAGACACCGAACGAGAGAGATGATCTACTCTTGCAGGTGGTCTGGCGCCGTGCTTGTATAAGTACTGTACCCCTCCCAATCAATAGATGAAGCCGTCGATAGATGTAGCTGCGGTATCCGTGCTGTTGCTCGGTTGTATTGCTGCCATTGTATCGGGTGTTATTGTGAAAGCTTGCTGCATGTAGTGTTGGTTGCGTCCTGCCACTCTGTATCGTAGGTGCGTGATCAGTCTGGGCCTGGCGTGAGATTGCCGTTTGCAACACAGGCAGCTGCCTCCGTTCCACCTCGTTGGCAACGTCGTCTGGTCGCGAGTGCTCATTGGCACGGCGGGCTCTCCGTTCTGCAATGGAAAGAAATATATGTCCACACTCGTAGCAGGTGCATGCTGTTTGCTGCCACGGCGGTCCTGGTGTCGAGTTGCTGTCGTCGCAGTCGGGCCGGCGCATGCGTTGTTGCCAGATGGTTGGGCGCAGGTTGTCGCTGAAGTGGACGCGCTCTCCGCAGTTGGCTGTCGACTTGGTTGTTGTAATGTTCGGGCGCTTCGCGGGCGTACTTGAGCCATCCTGCAACGTCCCAGTGTCGTTGTGTATCTTCCATCTTGGTAATAGTTTTAGCCAGCCATTTGGAGCCGGCTGTTACTAAGTCTATCCAGGTGGTTGGGTACTACTGAAGTCGGTGGTCGTTGGTGTTGCTGCTCGTGGTTGAGGTCAGTTGGTCGCAGTAAGATGCGTGGTGCATGCGTTACAAGTCTAGCCATGTATTTGAATCGGCGTGGCTGCCTTCCCGCCTTCCGTCTGGTAGTCAACTCACTGTACTCTGAAAAGTGGTCGTTGGCATGTGGCGTGTGATGCTTGACGCGATAAGAAGTGTGTCTTCATGGAGGTTAGGAATGCTTGGTTGCGTGCTTCGTATAGTTGCGCTGTCGTAGTAGTCGCAATTGGATCCCACGTCTCCGATTGGTAGAAAAGGTGGCAATCGACACAAGCGTCGGCAAGTCGCATCTTGATGTCTGTCCTGAGACACTTGTTTTTGAAGTGAGTTGCCTTAAGTGGCGCCAGTGGTGTTCTTTGTTCTGTGATTTGGTACGGCGTACGGATCGTGGTCGTACATGCTGGGTTGAAGTGAGTGCCGAGGTAGTCGCAGTCGTGTGTGATAGTGATGAGTTGATCCCACGTGGGGCAGTAGCTGGTCGGCGTTGGTTACGTGAGTGCTATTTGCTTAGCTCGGTCGGTGTTTTGCTTGCGATCTGCATTGTGAATGCTGCATTGCGTGGCTTCTTGTTTAGTTTGAAACCGTAGCTGGTTAGGACTGCGCATGTCTCCCATGTAGTACTCCAAGAGGTCGTTGTCGCTGCACTGGGTCAGTATAAGTGCGTCGTCGACGAATGCTATGCGGGTTGCGTAGTCGTCTGGTGTGAAGTCTGTGGTTTGGTATGAAGAGAATAATGGTAGTGCTGGCCACGGTAGTCGGATTGCGCATGGCTGGTCAGTGATGATGTTTGCTAAGTCGTTGGGAGGTCCCGCAAATGATTGGTTGTATGTTGCATCTGCTAGGCCGTTGCCTGGTCTGGTGCCTTTGTGGGGTGAGCAGTGCGTTGAGAGTGCTTGCAGGTGAAGTGCGACGCCCATTAGGACTCCATGACTTGAGCTGCTAGATGTTGACCGCAGGGCCATGCTTCTAACATGCCAAGTTGGCGGGGCATGACTTCTGCAGCGGCATCATCGCCAGTGGGAATTCCTGGTCCCAGTAGTAGTTGTCGCGGTCGGGTTGTGCTTCGTGGCCAAACGCTCTCTCTAACGACTGCATGGAAGGCTGCTGTGAGATCGATGTTGTATCGCATGTTGCCAAGCTTGTTCCTGTTGCTGTAGCTAGCACCAAGTGCAGCCGCGCGTGCTGCGAAGGATATCGATATGCCTGAAAGTCCTCCGCATTGCGTCGGTAGAAGTATTTCGGTAAGTAATGATTTGAGGTTATGTCTAAGGCATGCGTGCTGTGCTTTAGTAAGTTCTGTTGCAAGTAATATTGAACGGTTTTGAATGGCTTTGCTGGTTGTACATTGGCCCTGGTGGAGCGGCATGGCCGCGCCACGTTTCCAAGGCAAGGGTTCTCGTTGAGTGAGCGAGGCCTGGAGGAGTCAAGGGTGTACGTGTCTTGCAACACTCGCTGTTGCTGCTTTGAATGAGTCGGCTGTGAGCCCGCCAAGTCCTGGGCGAAGTCGGCCTTGGAAGTGAAATCACGTAGCCCAGTATGTCAGGTGAGATTGGTGCATTGAGGGCGCCCTTGCCGCGCTCAAGTCTACCGTCGTTGTCAGTGTGCGCAGCTTCTGTCTGTCGTGCGAAATGTCTTGTGAATTCGTCGCCTTGTTGCTCGTCGTTTTCCAAGGCCTCCCCCGTTGCGTCTATGAAAGCATGGCTTAAGCTTTGGCTGCTCTTTTCCTGATGGCTGGTCCGCATCGCAGTGCCGCCTCTGCGCATTGCCATGCTGCTGTGTTCGTGCATGTCGTGGAAGTGCTGGAAGTTGTTGGATAGTGCTGCTATGTGGTCGGCACGGACTTGCTCACTTGGTAGTATGCCGAATGTCGTGTTGCATATGGGTTCTGCGCGATACTTATATGGTCTCGCTTATAAGAGGAGCTCTCAGCTTGATGATAGGCAGCCGGTGGGATTAGTGTAGTACTCTGACTTGCTTACACTTGGAGTACAGCTGTCGTTTTGGTGTTGTGGCGTACGGCATTGCCGTGCTAACCAGCAAGCTGCACCCTAGTCTGGATGGGTGTTGTGGTGTAGTCAACTGCATGTGGGTGTCCGCCGTGCTGCAGTCGCTTCGCGCTGTCGCCTCTTGTATGCCCATTATGCGAACCTTATGTAGGAGTGCCTGTGCTCGTAGGTGTTGCCCTCTGGTCATGTGATGGAGCGTATGCTTGTCGCGTTGCAGGTCGTCGCTTGTCGCGTCAACATTTGATCTCTGTGTCTTGTGAATGGCTATATTGACGTGAACCGTGGTAGGGTCGTTCTCTGTGATTGCTCTTGCTGCACGTGGGCTTATGTAAATATTGGTCTGCTCGTCGGCTATGGTGAGGAGTGGTGTAGGTTGGTGTGCAACATGGGTCTGATAATGGAGGCCATCTCCCTGAATCATAGGGTAGGCGTAGTGGTCGGCTGTTTGTGGTGGATAGTTCAGAAAAAGGTGTTTGCGGTGTGCTAGAAGGGCTTGTAGTTGTTCCTCCAGTTGAGGAAATCTTGAATCAGTCAGACTTGCCGAGTCGGTTTTAGAGATGACTGTGGCATGCTTTGTGGCCAGTGTGTCTGCAAGCTGGTTCCATGGATGGTCCTCGTGTCCGTGTATGTGGGTGTGTGGTGATGGAGTGCTGCTTGCGTGCTTGGTGGAATAGTATTTGTGCTACCTGGGTGATTGGTTCGTCGATGTGTGTGACCTGGTTGAATATGTGGATTGCAGTGGCTGGGTCAGTGTGTCCTTGCTTGTCCAGGTGATGTAGCTGCTGTGTGGCGTATAATATCGCCCACATGATGGCTGTTAGCTCCACCTTTGTGCTGTCGAGTTGGTTTGTGTTAATGTCGCTACGGATACTAGACGTGATGCTTCCGGAGTAGTATCTGTACATGCCTGGTTCGTGGTCGTCGTAGAGCACTACGAATGCCCATGCTGAATCGGCCTTAATGGTTTGCAATGAACCATCGGGTAAATCAGCAGGCTGCGACGTGTGGGTAGCGGTTGCTTGTATCGTGTGAGCGCTGCTTGTGTGGCTGGGTGGAGTGTGATGTCTGAAAAGTCGTATTGGAATGCGATGTTCCTGTTTGAATGTTTGGAGGGAGGTCAGAAAATGTGTTGGGATGTCTTGTCGGAGATGATGATACGTACCACGCGACGAAGTTGTTGGGAGGACTGAGTCGCCTGTACTGCTATCTGGGTGATTCGTACACCTCGTCTGACCTCTTGGTGGGTCAAGCATGGGATTCCGCAGTCTAA